CCCCATCTGGTGGTCTGGGGACCAACGGCAGCGAACCCGTGTACCGCGTCCAGAGCGACTTCGACTACGAGTCCATAGCCCTAGCCCTCTACCAGGAATGGATCGAGCTGGACCTCTTCCACTACGGCCTAGCCACGTACTCGGTCAGGGATTTCGAAGCGAACGGCCTGACTGCCGAAGACCGCCACCTCCTCCAATTCATGGCAGACCAAGAGGTCGGGCATGCCACCGCGCTCACCAACATGCTAGGCCCGCAGGCGCCCGTGCAATGCACATACAACTACCCCTCAATGAACGTGCGAGAGTACATCGACTTCTGCCAGAAGCTGACGCGCTGGGGCGAGGCCGGCGTCTACGGCTTCCTCAACCACCTCGACGCCCGCGAGGTCGGCCAGATCCTACTGCAGTCCATAACAACGGAGGCGCGGCAGCAGATGATATTCCGGCAGTTCGAGGGCCTGTTCCCCATGCCGGAGTGGTTCCTGCTGGGCGTGCCGCAGTCCTGGGCCTGGACGCTGCTGGCGCCGTACATCTCCTCATGCCCACAGAACCAGACCCGGCTCGTCTGGCAGAACTACCCGGCACTGCGCATCCTGAACCAGCCGAACCCGGCGCGGATCAACGGGGAGACTGCCTGGAACGAGACGCTCGGCGACTACGCCAACACGCTAAGCACGCAGAACCTCAGCGCGCACGACGCCTGCGTGAACGCGAAAAAGGTCGGCGAGAACTGCAGCCCGGGGATAACCCGCAACAGGACGAACCCGCTCTCCTACCCAGGGCGGCAAGTCTTCCTGCAATGGGACGACGCAGGGCAGCCCGTGGGGCCGAACAACAGCTACGTGACAGCGACGACGGCAGGGCCGCCGAAGTACGCCGCGTGGGTATCGCAGCTGAACGTGACGTACTCGGCACTGCAGAACATCAGCGGGAACACGGCGTACACGATCCAGCCGGACGTCGCGACGTACGCGGGAGACCCGGCCATCAACGGGACCATCTTCCTCGTCCTCACGGACCGGGACCTCCCCGTGACGCCGTTCAACATTAGCCTGCTTAACCCCTTCGTGAATGCCTTAACCATCTACCAAGCCGGCTGAGGACGTATGTCGTGATAGCACACAGTAACAAGGGGAGAAAGAAAACCGTGAATGTATCCAGAAGCAAAGTAATCATGTCAAATACAACCAAGCAGGATTATATCCCACCTATAAATACATAATAAACAGCGTAAACCACACAAAAGGGTATTCCAATGAAACCAAAGTAGCATAGCAATGAACTCAAAAACCAGAAGACCTCAACATCACACAAAAACCGCAGGACAAGCACGTAAAGCAAAGCAAAGCGATACAGCACGGCACGGAACCAAACCCAAGCCAAGCACGCCTCAACCAAGCACACAAATCACAAACAAGAAAAGAAGTGACAAATAAACAAGTCGATACCAGGAAACCAAATATACACGAAAGAAACAAAACCCCCACCCACCAGATCCAACGAAAACCCACCGGATCCAAACATCACAAGGGGGTATCCATTCATCCAGACATCCACGAACCAGGATTTATAAAAAACAAAAAGGAAACAAAATTAAAAATAAACACACACACAGCAGAACACCCCCCAAACACCGACAGAAACCAGTCCCGATGCCCTCGCTATGTACGTACAGAATATCTACACCACAAAGACAAAAAAAAACAGAACAAAGTTAAGTTACCAGCCCAGACACAAGCGGATCCAAAGCCGCCAATACCCCAACCAGACCCCCCATATCCCCACCACCCCGAGAACAACGAGCCGATCTCAAGACGCAGGGACATTAATCTCATACCCGATAAGCACCTCGGTAGTAGACCCCTCCCAGCCGCGATTACCAGCGGCAGAGAGCATGAAGCGGCAGGAGGAGTCGACGTAAAGGCTAGAGATGACGCCGGCGCGCGGGGGGCCGGGGACGATGAGGAACGGCGGCGGGGCGTGCTTGGACGAGCTGTCGGAGTGGAGGTCCCACAGGCGGAGGATGTCGTGCGACGCGCAGACGAGGTGCCTCCCGTTCGGCATCGCGCGCACGCAGCTCACGGGCCCGCTGCCGCCGGGGAACTTCAGCACCCGCTCCGGCTGCCACCCCGCGCGCCCGCCGCGCGCCTTCTGGATGCTGAATTCCTCCACCGTGCCGTTCCTCCGTCCTGCGTAGATCCAGTTCCCGTCCGGGCTCCAGCAGGCCCCCATGCACCATGGCGGGACGCCCGGTCTGTTGCCGATCCTCGCTACGGGCTTTGGCACCCGGCGGTCCCAGATGCGGATGGTGCCGTCGATGGAGGCGGATAGGAATGTGCTGTCTGATGTTTGGGTCGTGTCGTTATGGGTAAGGGGCGGGGCGACGAATGCGGCTGAGGGCGACTGGGCCCTGCCTTCGCGCCCCGTTGAGGCTTCTGCTCGTGTTATAGGCGGGGGCTCTATTGGAGTGGAGTTGCTGTTTGTCGTCGGGAATAGGGGTTGCGTCGGGACAGTAGAAGTGGGTCCCACATGGTTGGTCGGAACGTGATTATATAGCGTAGGATCTGCAGATTCAATAGGAGCCTCGGGGCCATCCAGTTGAGGTCCTGAAGGGGGCGCAATGGTGGGTGCGGTACCATTTTCGGTGGTAAAACTGGTCTCGGGCATGTTATAGTCGGTCATAGCCATATTATCCTGCGCCGAGTCCTGCATCATCGCGCGGGAAAATTCGTTGTCATCGTCGCCGCCGAAGCCTCCCATGCCATCATTATCGCCGAAAAGGTCGGAGCCACCTCCTGGGCTACCTCCAAATAGACTGTCATGCGCAGGGCTATCATGCCCATCCGCTGTGTCTTGAGAAGCACCTCCGCCTGGCGCGGCGTGTCCACCGACCCCCAGTCCATTGACCCCGTTCATACCAAAGTCAAATTCATCGTCAAGTTTGAAGTTAGGAACATGAGACATGGCCCGTAGGCCAGTATTGTTAGAGAAGGTATCACTAGGAAGTGCTTCTTCGCTCGCCTCGGGGGGGACGGGTGCACCGTTCGCGGGTCTAAGCTCAATGGCTGAAATCTGACTGCCGTTTCCATCAAACTGCCTGAAAATCGCCCCAGTATTGAGATCCCAGTCGAAAATATTCTTATCCCAGCTCCCGCTCAGCACGCTCTTTTCATCGGCTGCCAAGGTCAGCACACTCACGGCATTGGCGTGTCTCTGTAAGCAGGTAATGCGCTTCCCCTCGTCGTGGCGAACGCTTTGTAGGTTAATGCCGCCGCTCTCGAGGCCGGAAAGAAGCCAGAGGGCCTGGGAATGTACGGCCAAGCTGTAAACGGGACTGAGAATTAGGTCTTCCTGGCGCGCGGTGGAGAGTTGTGGCTCGGCGTTCTCCCAGTATGACATGAGCACGCCGGCCTTGGTAACGGAGTCGACGAATGGGTGTCTTTGGGCCACTGTCAAAAGGGTCTTGCCGTTGATGGTGGCAGGTCCGTCGTATTTCCTGATGTAACCGTCACTTCCGCCGGTCATCCAGTAGCGTAGATCCGGAGTGATGGCGATAGCGTTGACACTGGTAGCCATCGGCGCAGCCATCGTGGGCACGATATCGTACGTCTTGGCCGTGAGCGCCTCGGGTCGAACAGCGAGTCGTCGCCTCCAGTCAGACTGCCCCGGAGTGGAGGATTGGCGAGACGTGGAATTTATCTGCTGTTGCCCTAGCGCTTGATCGTGTTCCCGTTGTTGATCCTGCTGCCGCTGCGACTCGTTGCTTTCATGGTAATCTTCTTCATCGTCGTCGTTCTCATTGTCGTTGTTCTCTTCAATCTCGTTCTCATTATCATTGTCGGGCTCATTATCGTCGTCGTCGTCTTGATCGGGATTCTCGTTGTAGTCCTCCGTACCGATATCATGCATGGCGATGTCTTCGTCATGGTCATGCTCGTTGTCGGAGCTCGAGTCGCGATCGTAGTCGTCCATCTTCGCAATCTAACCCCAAATTCGGCCGTCCGGTGTTCCAGTCGCGTGCCGCAGTCGGCAGTTTCCGTCAAGTGTTCCGACTAACTACAATTGTTCTAATAATAGGACCTGACACGAGTCAATGGCATCCCGTCAGGCACGAGGTGAAGCTATCTAGAAAAGAGGTTGATTCTGCGATGCAAGGGTGGCATGGTCGAAATTATGGTTCGCAATGGCCAGCAGCGTGTCGGATGATGCAAGAGACTGGCTTGCTGTCCTAAGAATTTACTTTGTCGGAGGCCACGTAACAAACTATAAAAAGCGCGCAGAAGAAGCTATCTTCAGATGTCTTGGCTGTTAAAGTTGAAGGCCAAATCATGGTTGATGCGATGATACGCGTGCCTATTAGATAGAATTGTCCAACCATTAGGATTGCCAACTCCGACAAGCTTGACAGCCACCTGGCAGAGCATTCTTGTCAGCCGTGCGCTATCTAGCTATTTTGGGTTAGAGAATCTGAATAGTTGCGCATTTTAGTGAGAGTCAGCAATCCTAGATAATGGTTGGGCAATTCTAGGAGTGAGCACCAACTTTAGGGAGTTGGTGAGCCCTGGAGAAACCAAACTACAGTGGTGCGATAGCACGCCTACGGTACCCCTGTCCGCTGGGACGTCGTTGGTGGTACTTCATGCAGCTTACGTAACTAGCCTTTAATAGGGCTATGCCACAGTTGCAATTGTGGCTGATGTGGCGTCATCACCATACCGACAAATTCCAGCAGCAGTTTATCAACACGCAGACGATTCATCCCCGATTTTCCAGATAGAACCCAAAACCAGCGCAAATCGCCAGCCGTCACAAGAAGCATACCTACCCAGTAAAACTCCCAGCACGATAAACACAAAGCAACCATAGGTAACAAGCGCAACCCCGCCAAACCCCTCCCCAAAACCACCAAAAAAACCACGCGGCAGACAAAGATAAATACCAATACCAACGTCCATCATCCCAGCAAGGTTTGACGCCAAGTCAGATCTCCCCGTTTGGTCGTTAGCTTGGCCGAGTGGTCTAAGGCGGTAGATTTAAGCTCTATTGACGAGAGTCGCGCGTGTTCGAACCACGCAGCTAACAACATATACCAAAATCTTTTTTTTTTTTACCCCTTCCCGGTCACTAACTATCCTTTTCTTTTCTTTTTCTTGTTGCCCCTCATCGGTTGCTCCTGTATTTTCTTTCCTTCGCGCCTTGCCCGTGCCTCTTCTGTGTGTTCGCCATTGAGCGCACCCTTATTCATTAGTCCGGGGCACGGTACAGATATGTAAGGAAAATGCACCACAAAGCGGGTGACTCGGACCGAACCTTGAGAGCAGACACCGGGGACCCATCCGTGAGGATACGGAAAAGGTCCGGATGACCGTTACATACTACACGTACGTCCATACATAAATGATACCACGTCGGACCCCTCTCGTCAGGGGCGATGTCATACGCGACTGGAAAATGAAAAGCTCATATTAGCTCCGCGCGGCGAACGTGACAGATGCGGTACCTATTACGTGACGTGACGCATGAGAAGAGAATATACTGAGAGAACTATTTAGTCGATTTCTAACCGCCTATTTGGTCTCGAGCGAGGATAAAGTTCACTGCAGCGACGGCTGCTACATTTGTGCTCAGTGCTACCTATGCCGTCCCTCGTATTCCGCATTTTCCACATTTTCATATTCTAGACTTGAGAAGATGACACTTGGAGCCAGAAACCTCAGCAATCATAGGTCAGCGCCGTAAAGCTATAACCTCGAAGCGTGCGGTTGGCTCAAGATCTCAATCATCAATCCTTGCAGTGTCTAGGTAAATAATACCTAGCCCGCCAATAAACTAGGGGACTTTCGTCACAAAACCACAAGCATAAGAGGAAGGGTATGGCGGCATGCATATTCGCTCTCGGATCTACAAGTCAATGAGGTTCTCCTCACTTTCCTCGTGAGAACTGGAGAAATATGCGTGTGCCTCGTCCTCGATGCTAGTATGCTCCCACTCCGGCTTGTCCTCGTTGTCACTGTCATTCATTTGAGATTGGTTCGGCTGGTTGACCGCGCCAGCATTGCGCTGCTGAGGGTCGGTAATACCGTTCGAGCTCTCTGAAGTTGAATACCCGTTGGGCTGATTTCGCGTTCCAAGAGAACTATGGTTGACTTCCTCCCCCGTAACACCGGATGCGCCCCCCTGCAGAGATGGCTCCCCTGAGTGTGTCGAATTCGAACTACTCATATTCTCCGCGTAGAAGGCATCACGGGCTGAAACATCTCCAGCGCTTTGGACTGTTCTGGTAACATTGACGTCCTCGCGCGGCATATTATCGACTCTCTCGGGCGATACGGTACTGCTGCTGTCCGAAACAACGCCTTCTCTGACATTGCGGCCACCGCGCCAGTTCAGTGTGACTTGGAGGAATGTTTCTTGGATCGGCTCGATTCTATCGGAGGCATCCTGAGCATCACGCGCCTCGGAACGAACACTATTGCCTCGTTGATACTCTTGCAGCTGTGCCGCATCATGCTGTTCGGCGTCGAATCTCGCCCATTCTCGGGCCAACGTGGAATTTAGTCGCGTAGAAAACGTTTCGGGCGTAGAAGTCCTTTGACGGCCGTGTGACAAGTTGCTACCTCCGCGAAGCTTTCCAAGGCGGCAATCGAATCCAATGAAGGGGGAAGCACGGCTTCTGGGCTCACTGGTACCTGGGGCAGCATCGTCGTCCCAAATTTCGTCCGTGGAGTACGCGCCAGTAAAGACTTCACATGTGCACTTGCAGTTCTCGCCGCACGATTTTTGGCAGTGATGACCGCAGTTCAGTACCTTCTCGCAAGGCTTCAGGCACGTTAATTGACTATGTTTCATCCTGTAATGATGAGATTAGCACCTTATTACCAGGAAATAACTTGGGATTCGAAAATGCTCGCTACTCGTGGTAAGTTAATCGGAAAGACTTACCAATGGCAGCGACGTCCGCAATCATGGCCGCATGGAAGTTTCTCTAGGCAAGGCTCAGAACAGCCACCATGATGGTTAATCCATTCGTCAGGGTGGCTAATCCAGGAAGTTCTGCCATGCTGCTGGCAGACAATGGGCAGTCTCCCATCCTTGCAGAACCGATTTTGCTGCTCGAAAATATCCTTAACTTGGTTCCATATCTTATATGATTCCTTGCACGCTCGCAGCAAGTTAATGGCGTTGCCGAAGATGTAAAAACCACGTCGGGCGCGGCTAATGGAGACGACACTCCGATTACTTTCGCGAAGAAAACCTGCGCTATGTGGGCCATGGGGGCCATTGCTGCGAACAAGAGATAAGACCACAATGTCGTTTTCCTCACCTTGATATGAGTCAACTGTGTGAACGTTTGTGAAAGGTTCTCGGTGGCCCAGCTTCCTGAACTCGCTCAGGAGCTTCTTCCGCTGTCCTCGATAGAAGGTTAGTACAGTTATCTCGGCCCCTTTAACACCGTTCATGAGGAGATAGTCGATAAAGCGGACAATCATTTCGGCTTCTAAAACGTTCAATTTACTCAAATTTTCATCCGTGTTCTCGCTCCATGTATGGTGGAAGAACAAGGACTGGTGTGCCATACCCGGAATGGGCGGGCGTGCACCTGGCGCGGCTACCACTGGATGATCCTGTAGGTCTGGGTAGAACGGGTTAAGAAGCTCCCGTAAGGTAGGAGCCATTCGGCGCTGCATATTGAGGATCGTATACGGCATATCTAGCTTCACGAGTCGCTCAAACATAGACACACGGATGTTGTATGGCTCCTCGTCTAGGAAGGGTGTGTCGCAAGAAGGTGCCAACTGCTGATGATCGCCGACGAGTATGAGCTGTTGAAGTGACGGGTATAGTGCTGACAGGATATTGGCCTCCTTAGTTTCGGCGGCCTCTTCGATGAGCATTGTGCGCGGTTTAAGAGCGGCAAGTAAGCCACGATATTTGCACAATCCGGTAGTGGTGCAGCCGATGATCTCGATCCGTGTAGATTTTACGCAATCCACATCTCTAAGCCATCTGTTGGCCTTCAAGTTCCTGCAAATCCGAACGGTTGCGGCTAGCTCAGCTTGAAAGTCGGCCTGCCGAAGACGCAGCAGCTGCCGTTGCCAGGACTGGTATACAATGCCGCGGCGTGATGGGGCAATGTCCCAAAGGTTTTCCCGCTGGAGTTCCTGGCGAACCACCGCGCCATTCTCAGTAAAGTTTCCAGGATTCGCACCGGTCCATTGGTACTGGATAGGTACCCATTTACCATCCACTCTGCCACGATGCTCATCCTCGTCGGTAATGCAATCGTCTAATTCCATATCATAATCCTCGACCTCGAAGTCAGCCTTGTCGTCACTTTCCTGAATATCAAATTCAGGACTGCGCATTTCCATTGATGGCGCCTTAATACGTTGATCACCTAGCCATTCTATCAATGAGACGGACGTTGCGTTTTCGGCAGGCCCGTCTGCGGTCGCGGCATTCACCCAGCCGTCATTATCGGTCAAGGATTCCAGCTGCTTCTCTGTAATGATTCCCGCTTCCCGTAGGGCAACCGGGTCCAGCAAGTCATCTGAAAACACGTTTGCGATGATTGTCTCAAATCGAGCTATGTTCCTTTTCCGGGCTGTTTCCAATGACCTATAGTCCCTGTCTTCATTTTGAGAACGACGACGCATCGTGAATCGGCGTAGATTAAACATATTGTGGCGTTTGATGTCTTCATTTTGCGTGCGACCTCCCAGACGAACCGTATTGAATCCGAGATCAATTAGCTGGGTGAGTATTTGGTCCACGGCATGATTGGTCTGGGCAGCAACTACAATGACGTTATTACCGCGCTTTGGCTCGCTCTCAAGTAAGATTTGCAGAGCTTGCACGGAAGTGAAGGTTTTTCCAGTACCAGGAGGACCCTGGACAATGGCCAGCTCCTTGGTGAGGATTCGATGAACTGCTGAAAGTTGAGAATTGTCCAGGTTGGTATAACGCGAGAGCCCATCGTCAATACCATTGAGCACCGGATAGCTCCGAAATGAATTCTTTACCTTGAGTAGGCCGTCGCGAATGGTTTGGGCCGGCAGGGTCGATGAGCTCTGGATATGGTGCACCAATGACGAAATGTTCATCTTCGGATTCTCAATAACGTACTTGGCTGTCTGGTCGCTCTTATCCAGATTGACCAAGTATTTGTCAAGCGGTGTGCTTGTGGTGGCCACATGTTGTAATCCTACCATGCAATGACGCACTGCCTCGAAGTAGCCCAGGCGACTTTCGAGCATGACGAGCTCATTCGTAGGATCCAGGATGGCATCCTCTGTGTTGGCCCACAAGATTTGAATAGTGGGAGGGTTTTGATCTAGTCCATCGCGGATAGGATGATCAGAAATGATAGCAGGCATACAAATTGTCTTGAAGCCATCTGCGGCAGTGGATATGGCCACGAGGCTCCCGGTTGCAAGACGACGAGTCTGTGTCCAGCGAATGGCCTTCCCGGCTCTCTCAGTCGAAAATTGGATTCGGCACATGGGGCCCAAGCGGGTCATCAAATAACCCCTAACGAAGATCTAAGTGAATCATGTCAGTTTCACATAGCTGCAGTTTGGAAGTGGAGAGCCGACCTTGGTGTAGACGCATGTTTCGTCGTCATCGACCATGTCAGGGAATTCGCGGTACTTCTTGATGGAGTAGCGCAAGATAGCAATGGCTTCCTCACGCTGGAGACGATAGTGCGTCTCCAGGTAGGTATTCTTGTCAGGCCAGGCGTACTGCCAGTTATTGGGTAGTAAGCTATGGATTTTTTCCTGATCCTTAGGGTCATTCCAGTCGGGGTTGAGGTCTTTAGCGGTAGGGATCTCGGGGAATGTCTGCCATTCTGGAACGTCGGTAGATACCGAACTATTAATTTTCAATTGATTCTGGATGATTGCCATCTCCTCCTACATGATTACGGCGTGTCAGTAAGCAGCCCCAGGGCTGGCAGTCATAGGGGCTGAACTGGGCATCCGGTACCTTGAGGTCATGGCTCCGGTCAGAGCCTGGGCGATTCATCTTGATCTTGGTCACAGTTAGTACACAAATACAGCGCTATGGAGAGCATCTGTCAT